TTCGCGCTGCTTTCATTGCTAGCGCATGGAAAAGACAACGGTCCAGAACATGAACTCTTGGTCACAGCCACTTGGTCGCCTGTGGCACAGGCGGAGGAGTGCGTTGGCTCCATGCTAGACCACTTGAAACTTTGACCATTTGCCCACGTGCCGTCCAGGGGCTACAAGTTGCTACGCTTTTGACATACACACAGCAGACGCGCATACATTTGGAAATATTTGGAGCATTTTGATATTGTAGGACAGAATGTTGCTAGTTAGAAAGAGGCGTGCGCAACACACAGCATTGTACATGGCTGCGTGAAAGCCACCGCTTGGAATTGCTATGGCTTGCAGCCGGGACGGTTTTTCGATCGTGAGCAAAAATTCGCAGCGGGCTGTAAATCAGCAAAGGACTTCACACGCTGCAAGTAGCAATGCTTTTGTCGACGTGATACTGTTGGCAATTCTGCGCGGGCCATTACCGCTCTTTGCGCAGCTCAGCTTCGTCAGAATCCCAACCCGGTGTTTCAAACACATACACGTACTAGTGGGGGCATATTGTTCGGCCGGCATGGTGTTGAATCGATCCGCTTTGCGTACAGAAAGTGCACGATCCAGAACAGGTGGGTGCCCCAAGAGCTACGCAAGCCCTAACTGAAGTGGTTTTCTAGTTTCATACAGAAATCTTTTTGATTGCTTAGGACAGAAAAACGACGTATGGCACGACATCGAGACAAGCAACCAGGTTCTGGAAAGATATCACCTGGCTTGGCCCGGCTTGGCTTCAAAACTGCAGGCTACACTAGCAACTGTTGTCAGCGTGTGAAAAGAATTGGGAAGGTGATTTTAAGAAACAAACAGAGAAGCTGGGTCAGACTACCCCAACGACCCCAACGACAATGTGAGGCGGCATAATTTTAGGCACATGTTTCACGCTCAGGACCGCCGGTTTCTGGAGTTTGAAGGTGGGTGCTTCATTGTTGTTGAAGACGTTTGCTGGCAGCATCAGTTGTGTGATATTTTGATCACAAGACAAACTCCGGGGGTGAAAGTGGGTTCTCCTCAGAGGACAGCCACAAAGCGTTGCGTCTCGAAAAAGACCGAACAACCGTGTTGAACTCGCTGCTTGCAGGTTGCGTGCGTGTATGTTTATACACGTATAAAATATAGGCCCGGATAACCCCACATGTTAACAACTTCACCAGACACAGGAGCGGACAATTGGTGGTTGGTGGGTGACAATTGGTGGCGATTGGTTGGTGAAGGTTTGTTGTCGGCAGCTGGTTGGTGGCAGTTTGTGGGTGGAAGTTTGTTGGTGGCAATTGGTTGGTGGCAGTTTCTAGGTGGCAATGGGTTGGTGGCAATTGGTCTAGGCAATTTAAAACGACGTCGCCGATGTCACCCTGAAATTAACGAGCAAGCTGAAATTAAGGTATGGCTATGGTCATACTAACATCACACACACACACGCAAAACACACACTCATGGATATGCGTACTGACTTGACAGCGGCGCCACACGCCGGCCTAGGGTTCCAATTCCTAAGGGTACATGTACGAA